ATTTTTTCCTTTGTTTATTAGTGTGCCGTCAGTGTGGATTTTGCCAAGAAGAATTCCGCCATGCTGCCAGCGTCCAAGTGCAGCGCAACGGGGAACCAGCACAGGGGAATTGCAAGCTAGCTGCATGGGACCTCGCCGCGGCAGAGTTCGTCAGCATTAGGCGAGAAAAAGCAGGTATTTCAAATTCAGTAAATTCAACAGTTCGACTCGAAGCTGACTAAAAATCCGCCTAAATTTGGTTCTAATGAAAGAGCGCTTTTGCTTAATCACTCTAGATAATCAAGGAGATGTGATCAGCAAACTATACGTATAGTTATGGCAATAAAAACAATAGTATCAGTACAAAAGAAGATAAAAACTAAATTAAAACTACTCTCTTCAGCAACCAAACAGCTTAATTGGTGAATTGGGGCACTGTACATGACGAAACGGGGCACTGTACTGATGATTCCCAGCCCATTTCGCATTTCGATTCTACCGTCTGTGTTTACAGCTCAGGGATGAAACAGAGAGACAAGCTGCCAAGCTACCAGGTTTTAATACAGGTTTGCTTATTTGGGAGATTTAAATGGCATTGCTTTTCCAGTGTGTTTTCATTAATTATCAAAATTCGATGGTGTTTCTCGCCACGCTGATGGGCCAACAGCAACGCCAAACAAACTGCATATGTTAACACATAGATGCGATTTCAGGCTCCCGTCCACTTCGAATCTCGCCAGTCAGGGGAGATATTCATTGTATGTATGTTTAAAATTTCTCAAACACTTACTTGTGCACATTGCAGTGAAATCACTGTTGAACAATTCGGCATATTTATTGCCATCCTTGTAAAGTTTGCGAAACAGAAATACCGGATTTGATTCGGTACCGGCGCCACGATAATGGGACACCTGCTTCTCCTGCAGCAAGCCTTCGCCTCCGGAAATGAGAAGCGCCTTCAAATACAAACAATCATAAGCAATCCAGCAGCATCTCTTTCTCCCTCTCAATGGTGGCTCAAAACGAAATAAATAGCAGCACGCACAAGACTAGCCGGTGCGATCATGCGTCCTGTGCAATTCAGCCCATCGAACGATTGCCTATTGATGATTTTCACTGCTTTGTACTTCAGTCTATGCAAAAATAATTCAAACACTGGAAAACAGTTAAAAATTTCACGCACCAGCGCATGAAAG